ATCAATGCAAAAAATCACTAATATTTTCTTTCAGAATATGAAGTCTTTTAAAAAAGTGCAACTAAACACATCTGCCTTACTCAACCCCCAACCTCCTCACAACTGAGAAAAGCACTAAGCCCCAGAGACATCATCAAAAGCTTATGCCATTACATAAACTCCATAGTGCCCAGAGAACAAAATGGCTTGTATACAAAATTTAGATAAACTGTCAAGAGCAGTGTCATGGTGCACAATAGCTCGCTGTCAGAACCTCGCCAGAATGCGCTGTACCAGCTGTTCCAGCACTCCTTGATTAACTCTCTCCAAGCCCAGTGATGGAAAACATGACTAACACAATCACCCAGCACAATCAGTACTGGTGCTCACCAGAATGGACATTTTACTGCTCAATAATTCTGACATCATCATTTACAATAACGACATCACTATCCATTTCTTTCAAAAACAGTAAAAAAAAAAAAAGTTAAATAGTATTAATAAAGAATAATTAGAATAACGTATTCTCCTAAATAAAAAAATACCTCAGACTGTTTTGAAAACATTTAACCTTCAATATTAATTTTCATTAAAATGCACAAACATATTTGAATCCTGTTTAAAATTAAATCTAAAAATAATCAAAGATAATCCTTTAGAATTGGGCTTCTGATTAGTCTATTAAACAGAAACATCTGGTTGTGCTGAGATCTTTTAACCTTGGAAATGAGATTAGAAATCCACTATTTCCAAGTTTAAGTAATTTTAATTATTTTATCTGGGTCACAGATAATCTACTCTTGTTACATCTAAAATGACATCAGATTATCATTGCTATGATTATCCTGTTATTTCTACTATCAATAGGAAGATGGGATTTTTTCCTCCTGTACACAAGAGAAATTATTTATTCCAAATAAGAATAATAATGGGAAAAATCATTACTGAAAATTGATACACTGCTTCTCTGAAACCTCAAGCTAAATTTGAACAGAACACATTAGCTTTCTTCATCATGTAACAGGCCTATATTCAAGCTAGCGATTATTAATATATAGTTTAAATAAATAAATGACAACTTTACCAGTATTTTCTGCAAATCCTCGATCTATGGGATGCAGAAGCAATAAAGAGGACGATCTCAGTGTATAGATTAACTTACGTGCTTCCTTTTCCCATTTCTTTTCTTTCCTATGCTACCTAACAAATTCATCACAGTTTTCACACTGTAGAGAGATTCACAGATTCAGATTATAACAAAAACATGTCTAGCTGTGAAATGAAGCTAATTTTAATTTATTATGAAATAGAAATATATTTTATAAGAAAATAAGCAGTCTATAATTTTAACCTTAATTAAAATTTTAAATATTATTAGGGACAGCAAGTGGTGTGGTGATTAAGGCACTGGACCTCTTACATAGCCGATGACAGTTTGAGTCGGAGACCCAGCATCCTGAAAATCATGCCAGATGTATATGCATATATGCCTAAAATCTTGAGAGGAGAATGGTGGAAAAGACACTGAAGCACGGCCATTCCCCTGGGGATGATTTCTCACTTTCTTTCTCTCTGCTGTCACTCTCTGGTGAATGCATGTACCCTATGACTTAAGTAAGTAAATAAATAAATAAATATTTTTTAAAATTAAATATTTTATTTAAATAATAAAAACGTATTCAATTTAAAATTAAACAGTGAATGTGTAACAACTTATATGGAGTTGTTGGAAAAGTCATGACACATTTTTGTGTAGAAAAACAGAAAAAATAGGTCATGACTTCCAACAATTAGGTCTTAACCTATATCAAGCAGGAAAGAATACACATACTGGAAACCTTTTAAAATTCTTTTTTATATCAAAAAAGAACAGTGCTTGAGGTTCACTATGAAAGTCCAGATCAAATGAAATGAAATATACTATAATTTTTAGAAGTACATAATGTCAAGAAGAAGTACAATAACTAAAGATTAGATTAACAAATACAATATTGTCTCTCTCTATCAATATTTGCATTCTTTTTTGAATGTTTTGCAGATGTATAATTCTGTAGATATACATCAGCTCTGTGTATAGTACAGCATGTTCTGACAGGGTAAAATATGTATGCAGAAAAAGATGAAACTTTTGAAGACAGCATTATTTAATAAATGTAGTTTCGATTCATCTTTATAAATATTGTAATGTCAGGACTCAAGTACTATCTTAATACAAATGAAATGTTCAGTATTATAGCAAAACGGAAAGTTGTACAACTTGAAAAATTTTAACATTAATATGCTAGTAGAATGGAATAGACAGAATGAAACCTCATATACACCCTTTAAAAACCAACAAAAACAAGAGATAAGTCACTTTATGTCCAACTCAGAAGAGACTGTTAAAAATTTGGAGAACCTTAAAGCTCCTGAAGTCATTGTATTGTTAATGGTTCATTTTGTGTATCCATTCATTGAATGATGGATATATAGGTTGCTTTCAGTTTTAGGCAATTATGAATACTGCTATAAATATACATGGACAAGTTGTTGCATGGATGTACATTTTTGTTTCTCTTGGGTATAGACCTAGGAGTGGAACTGCCGAGTCTAACGGTAACTCTGTTAACTGTTTTCAAAAACTGCCAGACTGTTTCCTAAAATGACAGAACCATTTTACATTTCCACTAGTGGCGTATAAAGGATCCTCTACATCCTTGCCAATCTTGTTGTTATTGCCTTTTTTTTATTATAGACATCCCAGGGAGTTTGAAGTAATAACTCATCACAGGTTTGATTTTTTCAGTTCCTTGATGACTGAGATTAAGTACATTTAATGTGCTTATTGTCCATTTGTACATTTCCTCTGGAGAAATCCTTTGACCATGTTTTAATTGGTTCCTCTCTTTATTATTGAGTTATTTAAGTTCTTTATATTTTCTAGACAGAAATCCTTTGGCAGAAATATTATTTGTAAATATTTTCTCTCATTCTCTAAGTTGTCTTTTCACTGTCTAGAAGTATCATTTGAGTCACAAAAGTTTATAATTTTCATTAAGTCTAATTAATCTATTTTTTCCTGTTCGTTTGGGCTTTTGGTGTCATATCTAAGACAACACTGCCTAATCCAAGGTTAGCAAAATTTACTAAGAATTTTGTTGTTTTAGCTCTTACATTTAGGACTACAATCAATTTTGAGTTAATTTTTGTGTGTAGTGTAAAGAAGAGAGACCAACTTCATTCTTTTGCATGTGGTACTCTAATTATGCCAGCACCATTGGTTGAAAAGACTATTTCTTCCCCCTTTAAATAGACTTGGCACCTTTGCTGAAAATCAACTCAACAATCAAATACACACACACACACACACACACACACATACACACATACACACACACATGAATGTATATCCATATCTGCACTCTCAGATTTCTTTGCATTTATCTAAATGTTTATCCACAATTATGTCAATACCACACATTCTTAATAACAAGTACTCTATATTAGTTTGTTAATTGAAGACAGGGTCTCATCATGTCACGATCCTCCTGCCTCAGCTCCCCAGCTGGGACTACAGGTACACACCACCACCCCCAGCTGTTTTTTAGACAGAGTCTTGCTGCATTGTCCAGGCCAGCCCTGAGCTCACAATCCTCCTGCCTTAGCAATTACAATTACATGTACCTGTAATCCCAGTGACTTGGGACGAAGCCTTTAGGTTGAACCAGGAACTGAACCTGGGCTTCCCACGTGGTCCCAGCATCTTAGCAGTGCAGACCACTTTATAACAGTTTAGGTGCACTTTTTTCTTACTATATATTTCACTGTATATATTCTAGTAAACAGTTAATTTTTAAAATATAATACATACAGTATATATAACAATGCTTTTAAACATACATTTTTACACACATAAATAGTCTGTACAAAAATAAAGACTGGCACTACAATGCATATTTCAACCTTATCTCTCATTACTTCTATGCCTGTAGCCTCAAAATGACCTATGAAACTCACAAAACACATACATTTATGAGGGTATTAATACCTATTATTGGGTCATCGGAAAGGTCATGATGCATTTTTGCATAGAAAAACACATCATGACTTTGCTGACGACCCAAGAGTACGTCCATGTGTTTGATGTAATTCTTCCAATTAGATAATGTGAAAAAAATTACTTAGTCCTATGCAGGTAATAATGCAAAAGAGAAACAAGTAGACACAGTCATGTACAACCATGCTTCAGTCAAGTGCAGACTGCACTCATTAAGGTGGTCTCCTATGATTTCACCAGATAGCCTACGTACACTTCAGCATCCAGATTAGTGTTCACACAATGACAAAATCACCAACAAACACATTTCCCAGAGTGTATCTCTGTCTGTAAGTGGTACATGACTATACTATTTCTACTTTCCATGTAAAAATGCAAAATATATACCTGACATTATTCAAACATTTCCATATCAAATGTCATAACTCGAGGATATGTCAGTCAGCATTTCAGACATTCTAGATAAACAATGACAATCACTTGTTAAGACAGTTTGTACATCAGTAAATGTAAGATATTTAAAAAGATTTAATTACTAATAAAATATTTCCACCAGCAGCTCCGTTTTTGAAAATTTATCCTAAATAGTTTGAAAAGGATAAAAAGATCTTAAAAGTAGTGTTATTTCTAATACATAATTGAAAACTAAATGCCAATGGACAGAAAAGTGGTTAATCAAAATATGGTATATTAATTAAACAGAGTATAAGCAACTGCTAAAAGCTATAAACATTAAGTCTGCAATCATTTAAAAATATTTTGTTAATTTTTAAAAGCAAAACAGAAAAGTGTATTAATGCCTTGTACCTAATTAAAATTACTTTAAAATTATATAGGCATCTGAAAATAGACATATGTAAATTACCCATAAATGATTATGGGTAATCTTCTTCAACTTCTAAATGTCCTGTAACTTTTCAGAATTAAGTTAATATTTAGGAAATATGTTCATAAATACACAGCTTTACATTTAAAATACACTTACTGTGATGATGCCGATCAGTTGAGTATAAAAGAGTCCAGTTATACCAACTAACATAGTAATGCCCATAAAGGCGGCTAGCCTCATAATGGCCAATTCATGCCTAACAACAAAGAGGTCCTATAAAGAAAAAGAGAAAAAGAAACTCTTAAAAACAACTTGAAGTGTTGGTTATAATTAAAATGGCAAGAATCGAACCACAACCTGCTCCCTCTTGTTATCTTAAAAGAACTACCAATTCTGCCTCTTTGGAGTTTGTTCGATTTAATTAATACATAAATATTTCAAAATTTAAAAATAACTTTTAACTTGCAATAGCAAGCTGAAAAATATAAGATTTTACTACTCTACTGTAGCAAAATAATAATAATAATAAAATAAAATAAAACAAAAAAAACCCTCTCAGTCCCAGGGTTGAGATTTATCCATGTTCATTTGTTTTTTTAATCTATTTGTGGGGGAAAAAAAATAAACCACAGATGATGTAAAATCTTTGGTCCACGAAGGGAATTTTTATGATTGTACTGCTAAAAAGTTTAAATGCAAAAATCAGATTCATACTATTAAAATTTGGTGACTAAGACACCTAGAAACTATATAAGTTCATCAAAATGAGGGATAAACATAAATACAGGTTGAGTATCCCTTATCTAAAATGCTTGGCATCAAGAGTTTCAGACTTTTAAATATTTGAATATCCATAATGAGATATTCAGGAGAGAGGCCCAAGTCCAAAAACAAAATTCACTTATCCTTCATAGATACCCTGTATACGTAGTCTGAGGTAATTTCATACAATATTTTTGTATTGTAACATTTGACTGCCACCTGTCATATGAAGTCAGGTATGGCACTTCCACTTGTGGCATCACATCAGTGCTCAAAACATTTCAGATTTTACAGTTTTTCAGATAAGGGAAGCTCAACTTGTAATAGGACCATAAGGACCTCTCTCTTCAGGCCAGCTTCATTCATGTTTCCATCAAATCACCCAACCACCACTGCCAAACACTGTGCTACGTAATAGAAATGAAAAAATGATAAACACATAATCTGTGCCCTCAAGAACTACAGTTTACTTAGTGAGCGAGAGAGAGAGAGACCAACTTCACAAAACTCTGAAACAATATGATATATGCAGTAATAGAAATGCAGGCAGAGGATGTCTAGACAAGAAGGATAAATGAAAATGCTGTCAGGGAAATCTGATTTTTCTAAATCAAGGCATAATAATGTGGATCCTGGAAGTGAACGAAAGACACTGTAGTGGAAGAACAAGAAACATGAAATGTACTGTTCACCTTTACTGTTACCAACCAAACTGATCAGAGGAGGTAAGAGTGAGAGCTAAGACTTCTCCTAGAAATCTGTTGAGGCTAACCTTTGGAATTAAACAGCATAGTGGATAAAAACAAGAAGTGGATGGGAAGGATTCCCAAACCCCAATAACCCATATGTTTTCTCTTTTATTGATTCAGGTTAAGGAGTAAAGGTATCCTGATAGCAATATCAAAAAATAGGAGGGCACCAAAGATGATGTATTCACTTCAAACAAAAGAACTGATGCTTTTTGGTGTATTACAGTGATCAAACAGAAATCTGTTTCCCTACCCAAACTCCTGGGGGAAAAAGCTTAAAATTCACCAAGATACAAGATGTTAAGTAGCAGTCTAATATTAGGAAGTCATTTCAATTTTTCAGTACAAAGGAGCCTAATTCATAATTTTCATAAAAGATACAAAAATGAAAAGATGGAGTTGTGAATGATAGGTATGGTAAATTCTGCTATAATTCTGTTTGAAAACACAGATTAGTTCCAACATGACTGATAAGTTAAGCATCAATTTAACTATTTTTTTGTGTTTCATACAAAATTTTATCTGAGGGAAACCCTAGATGAACAGAGAAAACTACATCCAACTAAAACAAGTAACGTAGAAAAACACACACACACCTCCAACATCCAACACCTACCTCAGTTTATCACATACATGACAAGCCATGCCCATCCATGTCTGGTTTTACTATATCCTCTCCAACTTCAGAAACTCTCCTTCTATCACTTCATAGTAACTCACATCCTATAGCCCTTCTGATGCCCACTTTCACAAGAAAACTTCAGGTCACTTTGAAGGTAGAGTGCCATGTTTATCACGGTTTGTGTGTATTTCTTACCCATTTAACATGTATAAAAGAGAGCAGCTGTTTTTATTAGGTTCCTACCCTTTGAAGTGTCACTAAGAAAGTTTTTGAGTGTCTTGTCTCTGTTTTCCCATAAGCCCTGTGGTTTTACATAGTGGGGTGATTTTTAGAAATGCACATAACACATTATGGCAGAGCTTACTGTTCTAAAATTAATGTATGTGACCATATAAAATCTATCCTCTGTTTTCCCAGTGAGAAGTTTTTAAGAAACATTTTTGGGCCAACCATCATTTTTAAGTGTCAGGGATAGAGATTAGACTAAAAGATCTACTTATATTACATTTATTCATTTGGTTATACATTTGTATTTAAAGTATTTACATAAGATAATAAAAACTTTACTCTAGAAATTGCTTTTTATCACTTTTACATTTTTCAAAAAACAATTGTATGCCAAGTTCACACATGCATAATTAACATCATCAGCACTAAATCCATATTTTGAGTCACTTAACACTGTTCTCCAGAGCACATCTTTACTTCTGTCTTAGATTTTTTTTTTTTAGATATAGCACTTCTTGAATCCAAAATGTGGCTCAGGAAATTTTAGCCAAATTACAAGAATCCATCTTTACTACATAATCAGTGTTAAGGGCTGAATTGTAAACACCCAAAATTCATATGTTAAAGCCCGAACCCCCAATACTTCAGAATGTGTCTGGAGACAAGGTTTTACACGCAATTAAGTTAAAATGAAGTCCTTCAATCAGGCGCTAATTTAATTCCACTGGTCCTTTCAAGAGTAAGAAACATGGATAAACAAAGACATCGGGCACGCTCCCACACAGAGAGACTGTGAGGACACGGCAAGAAGGCAGCCATCTGTAAGCCAAGGAGAGTGGCTTCAGGAGAAACGCAACCTGTCAGCATCTGGATCTTGGACTTACAGTGGCCAGAACTGTGCGAAAATAAATTTCTGTAGTTTAAACCATCCAATCTGTGGTATTTTGTCAGGATAGGCCTTGCAGAGAAATACGATCGATTGCATTTCTTTATTGTTTTCACTTCTTCCCATTTTTTGGTAAGGAATGTGCTTACACATTAAATGCATAAACATGTAATCAGTTTAAAGAAAAATAACACTATACTCTTAAGAGGGAAAATATCTGAAATCATGAAGGGACTCTTGTGTACTCCTTCCTTATCACAATCTTTCACACACAACCTAAAGATTAATGTTACTGATTTATTCTTCTAATATTTTGGCTCTTCTGTGTCCCAGTTTCATATTGGAAGTATCTCTTCACACTCTGACCTGCTCACTCTATGACATCTTTTGATAAACCCAAGTTCTCAATTTTAATATCAATCTTTGCCTTTAGCGATTTTTCTATCCTGCTTAAAAAAAATCTTTCCCAACCCTGAGGAAATAATGACCTCCCATATTTTAAAAACGTTCCAAGTTTTGCCTTTCATTTATGTCACTAATCTATCTAGAACTGATTCTGTTTTGTTTTGTTTTTGGTTTGTGCACAGTGAGAGATCAGAATTTACTTTACTACATGAATATTCAGTGGTTCCAGGATGACTTAGTTTAAAAGATTCACTTTCCTCAGTGATCAGAGATCAAGTATCCACATAAGCATGAATGACTTGGGTACTCTCTTCTATTCTGCTCTTTTATTTATTCCACTCATACACATCTTAGTTACAATAGCTTTGGAATAACTCTGGATACCTGGTAGGGTAAACTCATCCTATCTTGGGGTTTTTTTTAAGAATATCTTGGTTATTCTAGATAATTTGTATTTTTAAGTTACAATACATATTGAGGCATACATTCACATATAACTTTCTCTGTATTAAATTTCCTATATTTCCCTTATAGGTCTTATACTTTGGGGGGCAGATTAAATTCAGAAACTTCTTTAAGAACTTTACAAATGCCACATATTAATTTCACTGTCTAAATGTTTGTTACTATGTAGAAATAGAACTAATTTTTTTAAATACTATTTTCCAGTCACACTTTCAAAATTTCCTTAAAAATTCAAAAGACTCTATGGATAATTTACACAATTATGTACAAGTAAAGGCAAGTATCATCTACAAGCAATGACACTGTTCTTTCTCTTTCTTTTGTTTACTGTATTGCCTAGAACTTCTAGCACTCTGTTTATAGCAGTAGCGATCCTGGGCATCAATGCTTTGACCCTCAACTTGGGGGAAAAGAAGTCAACATTTCATCTTAGCATGCTCTGATTGGTTACTTTTGTTTTGAAAATCTTTTATCTGATCAAAAGATAACATTCTCCCCTAGTTCTAGTTTGCTAAGAACACATGAATAGAAGCTGAATTTTATCTTTGTCTTCAAATACTGAGCTGCTCATTTGAATTTTTTTTCTAATCTGTTGTGATAAAAATATACTAATTCTTTAAACCAGTGCAAACAAACACACACCTTTAATTTCTAGGATAAGCTCAGCTTTGTCAGACTGATTACATACAACCAGATTCAGTTTTCTAATAATGGGTTGTCAGAAAAGTCACGACACATTTTTGCATGGAAAAACAAAAAATGTGTCATGACTTTTCTGACAATCCAATACTTTCTTTAGTTGTTCATCTATGTTCATAACCAGACCAGTCTATATATATTTTTTAATTTATTATCTTTGACAGGTTTTTATCTAAGACAAGCTCTACACACAAAATGAGTTTGGAAGAGTTCCCTCTATTTTTGTTCTTTGAAAAGAGTCTGTATTAGGCTGAAATGATTGTTTCCCTTCATGTTGATAGGGCTGGAACTCAGTAGCAATCCTTGGAATATTTTTTGCAAAAAAAGTTTTAACTACTCACTTTTGATTATATGACTATCCATGTTCCTAATTTCTTCCTGAAGTAATTTTCTTCTCGAAGCTAAACCATGTTTGTAGACCAGGAAACCCAATAATGTAAAAATGTCAACTACCCAA